TGCATATTATATTATACTGAAAACAGCTTAAAAAGATTTATGTATACACAACGCACACAACTGTTCAATTTAATGACTGACCAGTACTAACGATTTTGGCGAGCCTTTTTTGCGGCAAAATTGGATTGGCTTCGGAAATTCATTTGTCGTTTACAGCTGTTCCTATGTCTTGAGCAGGAATGCTTCTTTAAAACGAAAATAGGAAAAGGTGCTGCTGTCCCTTACCCTTCAGAGATTGGCATTACTTGGGACTCTCTTATGTCACAGAGTTATAGAGATGCTAACCTAACTTTTGTTTCGACACAAGTGCTTCAGCGGTCAGATAAGCGTTACAGCGTGACTCGGCAGGGACCGCTTGACCCTTTGACTGACTCGGTAGCTAGGGTGACCGAACCGAAACTGAACAACGAGTAAGTCACAGAAGAAAAGTACCATAAGTTCATCGACAAAATTTTACTAATACAAGAAACAAACAAAAGTACATGGTACAGAATTCAAGCTAGTGCATAAAACAGTAAATATGTAGAACTGAAATCATAATAAGTAAAAATGTCTCTGAAAAGCCTGACACCTTTTCTAGAATCTTGCTTTTTTGGAGGTTTCCTCTCCACTAAAAATAACGAGATAACGAAGTAAATAAAGTGTGAGCTTACAAGTCCATTTCTTTTCGTTTTGAAATAATCTATAAAAAATCATGCACAAATATAAAAAGTTTATTGGTAAAACCTTGCTGATCTTCTGCCACTGTCTGTCTAATTTTGCTTTCTCATCCCTTTCGGTTTTCGCGCCTGGTACCTTCCGTGTTCGCCGTCCATCGTTCATCTTCACGCCATACTGGAAAGCGGCCCTAAAGGACAACGCCAGATGTTTAGCACATATCGTTTTCGTCTAAAAGCAACTAACTTTGGAAGCGCCTCACGGTTACTCATGTAGTCTTCGTATTCCTGCTCAGTGTCAAAATCCCACCGTTTTACTGGACCCTTTTTATTACCCTGCCAAATAAACAACACCATAAACATGGTAAATGTAGCGAAAAACTGTTTTACAAGGTCCATTTTTGAATAATCCACCTCCTCGTCGGAATCGCCTGCCGCATCATAAAACTCCAGCTCCCTACAAAACAACAAAAAGTCATCAGAGGTTTTCGAACATCAATAAAAAAAATACCCAGGATAACATTCCGCGTAGCTTTCAGGGCCATTTCCAATTTCCAACTTAAGGCCGTGTCGCGTATTGTCAGAACTATTTGTCCTCATTGGGTCGAAATCTCGCTTGAATTTGCTAGTGCTTCTGACGAGAAAAACGGTTAATTAATAACCACCGTTAAAAATCAACAAGGAAGGACTCACGGTTGGACATCAGTGGGTGCAACAACTTTCCCGGCGTTTGCGTGCGTTGGATGGCTCTCCTCTGACGGATTCGCTAATCTTGTACCAAACTGCCAAAGTGACGCATGTCAATCCATGGGCATTCAAAAATGAAAGAGAAACAAAAATTTTTACCGGCCGAACGGTGAGTCCAGATATGTTTTCCATTTCTAAGGAGGACTCCTACAGAAGCGCCGTTGTAATAGAAAGCAACATGTTAGGAATCGAACAGTTTATATCACTGTATTTTAAAGCAGCAATCACTTCAAATGCAAATACTCTGAACTACGCACTGAACAGGTTAATACATAAATGACCTCAGTATTATTGCATTCGTACGCCTACAAATTATGGAAGTATCAAATGAAGGCCTTTTCCAACTTCCATAGCTTCCAAAATCTAATGGTCATCATTCCATGGCACTGAGGATCTGCAGTTAATGGATGCAAAATGGCTACTTCGAGCAAGCACAGTGAAGCGTTTGATCACACAGTCTATCCTGCAAATACCGTGATGACACGAGTTAAACCTATGGAAGATCTGAACGACGTATGATGGACATCATCAGGAAACACAGTGCAAAACGAACGTAATTCATGGCCAGTGAATGCAATAATATTTGCCTCAACTTGCACTTAGTGGACATGTTCTAGACAGATGATATTTGTTCGTTATTACTTAAAACTACTGAAAACCTCTACAGATATAAGTAATCATGTACAGCATATGCATTTAGTATAATCATAAATGATGTATAAACGACATTATACATCTTTAAATCTGTCACCATCTCATTACGCATATTCACTACCGCAACAACAAAACAAGGGTGCATACTGATCAATCTTTCTACTATAACAATATACACGATATATTACCAATATTGCATGATTTATATAGTAACACTATAGCTGCTGACCACATACAATATTATGTTAAATACCTAACATAACAATCATGCATAAAAAAAAGACCGTCAGAAACCAAGAAATTTGGGTGTATTCAATAACGAAGCTTCAGAACCCGCAATACTGTTTCATCAACAGAAATTAATAACATACAGAAAAGAGCGTGTCGTCACAGACAACCAAGATCAACAGGCATATAATAAGGG